ACGAAAGATTTTGAAAATTCGTGTTAGAATTATTAATCTTACTTTTTCGGTCATATTTAATAATATATGTCTACAGGAAAGACTGCTACCAAAATATACTAATATATATATATATATATATATATATATATATATATATATATATATATATATATATATATATATATATATATATATATATATATATATATATATATATATATATATATATATATATATATATATATATATATATATATATATATATATATATATATATATATATGCACAATATGCTAATATATTAATTTATATTCCAGAAAATTCCCGTTTTGAATGAACAGCATTTACAAAGTTATGAATGCGTCTGTGGGGTCGACCGCTGGATGTAATGGACTTGTGGCGAGAATGGGTTGGATAATGTGTGCGTGTACTCACCTACTTGTGCTTGCAGGGGTTGAGCTCTGGCTCTTTGGTCCCGCCTCTCAACTGTCAATCAACTGGTGAACAGGTCCCTGAGCCTATTGGGCTTTATCGTATGGAGTCAGCCTCCACCACATCACTGCCTAATGCATTCCATTTGTCAACCACTCTGACACTAAAAAAATTCTTTCTAATATCTCTGTGGCTCATTTGGGCACTCAGTTTCCACCTGTGTCCCCTAGTGTGTGTGTCTCTTGTGTTAAATAGCCCGTCTTTATCTACCCTGTCAATTCCTCTGAGAATCTTGTACGTGGTGATCATATCCCCCTAACTCTTCTGTCTTCTAGCGACGTGAGGTTTAATTCCTGTAGTCTCGCCTCGTAGCTCATACCTCTCAGCCCGGGTACTAGTCTGATGGCAAACCTTTGAACTTTTTCCAGTTTGGTCTTATGCTTGACTAGATATGGACTCCATGCTGGGGCTGCATACTCCAGGATTTTTCTCACATAGGTGGTATACAAAGTTCAGAACGATTCCTTGCACAAGTGTCTAAATGCCGTTCTTATGTTAGCCAACCTGGCATATGCAGCTGATGTTATCCTCTTGATATGGGCTTCAGGGGACAGGTCTGGCGTGATATCAACCCCAAGGTCTTTCTCTCTCCCTGACTCGTGTAGAATTTCATCTCCCAAATGATACCGTGTAACTGACCTCCTGCTCCCTACACCTATCTTCATTACATTACATTTGCTTGGGTTAAACTCTAACAACCATTTTTTCGACCATTGCTTTAGTTTGTCTAGGTCTTCTTGAAGCCTCAAGCAGTCCTCCTCTGTCTTAATCCTTCTCATAATTTTGGAATCGTCAGCAAACATTGAGAGGAATGAGTCTATACCCTCCGGGAGATCGTTCACGTATATCAGAAACAGAATAGGACCAAGTACAGAGACCTGTGGGACTCCAATGGTGACTTCACGCCAATCTGAGGTCTCACCCCTCACTGTAACTCTTTGCTTCCAAGTGCTTAGGTATTCCCTTATCCACTGGAGCACTTTACCAGTTACTCCTGCCTGTCTTTCCAATGTGTACTCACCTAGTTGTACTCACCTAAGAGTGTTTGCGGAGGTTGAGCTCTGGCTCTTTGGTCCCGCCTCTCAACCGTCAATCAACAGATGTACAGATTCCTGAGCCTATTGGGCTCTATCATATCTACACTTGAAACTGTGTATGGAGTCAGCCTCCACCACATCACTTCCTAATGCATTTCATTTGTCAACCACTCTGACACTAATAAAGTTCTTTCTAATATCTCTGTGGCTCATTTGGGCACTCAGTTTCCACCTGTGTCCCCTGGTGCGTGTGCCCCTTGTGTTAAATAGGCTGTCTTTATCTACCCCTATCAATTCCCTTCAGAATCTTGAATGTGGTGATCATGTCCCCCCTAACTCTTCTGTCTTCCAGCGAAGTGAGGTTTAATTCCCGTAGTCTCTCCTCGTAGCTCATACCTCTCAGCTCGGGTACTAGTCTGGTGGCAAACCTTTGAACCTTTTCCAGTTTAGTCTTATCCTTGACTAGATATGGACTCCATGCTGGGGCTGCATACTCCAGGATTGGCCTGACATATATGGTATACAAAGTTCTGAATGATTCTTTACACAAGTTTCTGAATGCCGTTCGTATGTTGGCTAGCCTGGCATATGCAGCTGATGTTATCCTCTTGATATGTGTTGCAGGGGACAGGTCTGGCGTGATATCAACCCCCAAGTCTTTTTCTTTCTCTGACTCCTGAAGAATTTCCTCTCCCAAATGATACCTTGCATTTGTCCTAATGCTCCCTACACCTATCTTCATTACATTACATTTGGTTGGGTTAAACTCTAACAACCATTTGTTCGACCATTCCTTCAGCTTGTTTAGGTCTTCTTGAAGCCTCAAACAGTCTTCTTCTGTTTTAATCCTTCTCATAATTTTGGCATCGTCCGCAAACATTGAGAGAAATGAATCGATACCCTCTGGGAGATCGTTCACGTATATCAGAAACAGAATAGGACCGAGTACAGAGCCCTGTGGGACTCCACTGGTGACTTCACGCCAATCGGAGGTCTCACCCCTCACCGTAACTCTCTGCTTCCTATTGCTTAGGTACTCCCTTATCCACAGGAGCACCTTACCAGCTACACCTGCCTGTCTCTCCAGCTTATGTACCAGCCTTTTATGCGGTACTGTGTCAAAGGCTTTCCGACAATCCAAGAAAATGCAGTCCGCCCAGCCCTCTCTTTCTTACTTAATCTTTGTCACCAGGTCGTAGAATTCTATTAAGCCAGTCAGGCAAGATTTACCCTCCCTGAACCCATGTTGGCGATTTGTCACGAAGTCCCTTCTCTCCAGATGTGTTACCAGTTTTTTTCTCACGATCTTCTCCATCACCTTGCATTGTATACAAGTCAAGGACACTGGCCTGTAGTTCAGTGCCTCTTGCCTGTCGCCCTTTTTGTATATTGGGACCACATTCGCCGTCTTCCATATTTCTGGTAGGTCTCCCGTCACCAGTGACTTACTATACACTATGGAGAGTGGCAAGCAAAGTGCCTCTGCACACTCTTTCAGTACCCATGGTGAGATCCCGTCTGGATCAACAGCCTTTCTAACATCCAGATCCAGTAGGTGTCTCTTGACCTCCTCTCTCGTAATTTCAAACTCTTCCAAGACCGCCTGGTTTACCTCCCTTTCTCCTAGCGCAGTGACCTCACCTTGTTCCTTTGTGAAGACCTCCTGGAACCTCTTGTTGAGTTCTTCACACACCTCTTTGTCATTCTCTGTATACCTGTCCTCGCCTGTTCTAAGTTTTAATACCTGTTCTTTCACTGTTGTTTTCCTTCTGATGTGACTGTGGAGTAGCTTTGGTTCGGTCGTGGCTTTGTTTGCTATATCATTTTCAAAACTTTTCTCTGCTTCTCTTCTAACTCTGACGTACTCATTCCTGGTTCTCTGGTATCCCTCTCGGCTTTCTGGTGTTCTGTTATTCCGGAAGTTCCTCCACGCCCTTTTGTTCAGTTTCTTCGCTTCCATACATGCCCTATTATACCATGGATTCTTCTGTTGCTTCTCGAATTTTTCCCTCTGGGCCGGGATGAACCTGTTTACTGCCTCCTGACACTTTTGGGTAACATAGTCCATCATACCCTGTACAGACTTATCTCTGAGGTCTGTGTCCCAAGGTATTTCCCTTAGGAAACTTCTCCTCTGTTCATAATTCCCCTTTCGGTATGCCAGCCTTTTGATTCTTAGTTCTTTTTTTGGGGAGATAATTCCTAGCTCTACCAGGTACTCAAAGTTCAATACACTGTGATCACTCATTCCCAAGGGCGCTTCCATCTTAACTTCCCTTATATCCCACTCATTTAGGGTAAATATAAAATCAAGCATTGCTGGTTCATCTTCTCTCATTCTTGTTGGTTCCTTGATGTGCTGGCATAGAAAGTTTCTTGTTGCCACGTCCAGCAGCTTAGCTCTCCATGATTCTGGTCCTCCATGCGGGTCTCTGTTCTCCCAATCTATCTTCCCATGGTTGAAGTCTCCCATAATTAGTAGTCCAGATCCATTCCTGCTAGCAACATAAGCTGCTCTTTTTATTATGTTAATGGTGGCCATGTTGTTTCTATCATTTTCCTGTCTGGGTCTTCTGTCATTTGGTGGTGGATTATATATGACTACGACAATAATTTTTTCCCCTCCATTTGTTATGGTACCTGCTATGTAGTCACTGAAACCTTCACAGCCCAGAATAACCATCTCCTCAAAATCCGAGCCTTTTCTTACCAACAGAGCTACACCACCACCACCTCTTCCTTCCCTCTCTTTCCTCACAACATAATAGTCCTGTGGGAACACTGCATTTGTTATCGTTTTCGTTAGCTTTGTTTCTGTGAGGGCTATTATGTCTGGGTTTTCCTCTAGTACCCGTTCTCCAAGCTCATTTGCTTTATTTGTAATGTGTGTGTGTGTGTGTGTGTGTGTGTGTGTGTGTGTATGTGTGTGTGTGTGTGTGTGTGTGTGTAAAGTTTCACTATCGGCCAGACCATAGGTACATCCATACAAAATGTTGAATATTGGTCAATAACAGTGCAAAGATTTAAAATGCATACAACACCATGCAGCAGTTGGGCGCCTGACAGGTGAGTGGACAGCGCTTCGGATTCGTAGTTCTGAGGTTCCGGGTTCGATGCCCGGTGGAAGCAGAGACAAATGGGCAAAAAGTTTCTTTCACCCTGATGCCCCTGTTACCTAGCAGTAAATAGGTACCTAGGAGTTAGACAGCTGCTACGGGCTGCTTCCTGGGGATGTGTAACAAAAAGTAGGCCTGGTCTAGGACTGGGCTGCGGGGACACTAAACCCCGAAATCATCTCAAGATAACTCAAGATAAGATAACACCTGTCCTAAGGGTCAATTAATGTTACAAATAGTGGCTTACTACCTCCATCTGAAGTAAGGGTTCATTAACGCCAATTGCTTCACCTTTCTACCAATACATGGTTCATGGATCTATGGCCTATCTACATCAGCTTCTCAACATTATTAAAGATAATTTGTCACTCACCTCTGTAAGTTTTGATAAAATAGCTCGTTCACCAAAGTCTGAGTGGACACAGGCTCGAGATGAGCACATAACACTGCCCTCCTCTGGACAATCAATTTTGTCTGTCATTATGGCCAAAACCTTACGGAAACGTGCTTGCATCATCTGAAAATATTAAATAAGTAATGATCTTTGCATAATTAGTATAGCAGTAGGATACTATTATTAAACTATTTTTGTAAATAAACTTTCATTTTTGTTATAAATCCGGCATTCAATTAACCTTTTTCCCAAGTACCTTCACTCTCTCAATACCGCAATTACTGTATTAAGGGTCCTTTTGGCACAGACCTTGCAACCTGTCTTCGACTCAAGTCCATTACATCCAGCGGGGTCGACCCCACAGACGCATTAGTAAATTTTTACATGCTGCTCATTCAAAGTGGAAATTTTTTCATATATAAATTAATATAATAATATATTAGCATATTGTGCATATATATAGGCATAGGTTAGGTAAGGTGTTTAGGTTCTGTTGGCGATTATTTATATTTGTAGCCCCCTCCCTGTCCAGCCCGTTGCTGCCAAGAGGGGGCTTGGTGGGCGGCTGCCGGAGTGTGATGCTCCATGGGATAGTCCTTTGTCCTTTTGTGGCCTTATGCTCCTGCTGCTGTCCTATCGAATTCAGCCAGACGACTTTTCCTTTTCCTTATGTTTCGTTTTTCTCCCCTTCTCAATCTTCTCCTTTCTGATTGTCATTTCCCACCAACCTTTTGCCTGTTTTGATTATTCTATCGGCCTTCTTTTGTTTTGACGCCCTAGGTGTTTGAAGAGGCATACTCTTGCACCCTTAGAACTGTGGTACCCAATGTCGCGAGCGAAGGGGACGCTTTTATTTTTAATCCTCCTTTCGTTACTGAACCCGATCTTGACGAACTGACGGTTCGTCAGGTGGCGTTTGTTTGGCATATACTCACGACGCACCCCGGGGAAGGGCCCCGGCAAGATCGGCAACATGTCTCTTGTTGGATGTCCTATCCTCTAATTGTGGCTCTGTGGTGGGTGTGGGCACCCACACCCACCACATTCGTGAATGTAAGTTTTAAATGTGAATGAATTTGTGAATTTAAATTCGTGAATGTAAGAAACTTACATTCGTGAATGTAAGTTTTTCCTCTCGTCTTTATGTGAAATTCTGTTCCTCTTGTACCTTCTCGGGCTCGAGCCGAAGCCCCCGAGTCAGATTGTGTTGGAAGACCGGGCTCTGTAGCCCCCACTGCATTGGGCCCCGACCTTGCTCCTCTTTTGACCCCTCCTGGCTACTGCCCCCGGCTCCCCTTTCTCCTCTGTGGTTGGGTCGAGCTACAAGCCCCCAGTGGTGACCACCTTGTCCCCTGGCACAGCTCAGTCTCTCATTGTGGCTACTCCTCCTTTCGTTACTGAACCCGATCTTGATGGACTGATGGTTCTTCAGGTGGCGTTTACTCACGACACACCCCTGGGGGGCCGCTGGCAATATCGGCAACATGTCTCTTGTTGGGTGTCCTATCCTCTAATTGTGGCTCCATGGTGGGTGTGGGAGCACATTCGTGAATGAAAGTCTTTCCTCTCGTCTTTATGTCAAATTATATTCCTCTTGTACTTTTTCGGGCTCTTTGGGTGGGTGACCAAGCCCCCGAGTCAGATTGCGTTAGAGGACCGGACTCTGTAGCCCCCGCTGCATTGGACCCTGACCTTGCTCCTCCTTTGACCCTCCTGACTACTCCCTTTGGCTCCCCTCTCTCCTCTGTGATTGGGTCGAGCCACAAGCCCCCAGTGGTGACCACATCGTTCCCTGGCATGGCTCAGTCTCTCATTGTGGCTACTGTGCCTTTTAATCCCTCTGGGGTGTTCTCAACACCGTCCACGCCACGGCTGCACTCGCTCAATCCCTTCCCGTACTAATGTGTACCAAGCCTTGTTTGGTCCTGCTTCGTGGGCCAAATACTTTGATCTCCTCCCTCTGGATTTTACACCTCCTGACGATTTCTCGCTCCATAGGCACCTTGTTGATTCAGTAGATGCCTCTGTTACTTTTAACCCCACCCGTCTCGGTACATGTGTCGTTGCTGCTCCTTCTCAGGATGCAGCCATCCGCTTGGCCGCCTTATCCAGCCTTGGCAAAACCCCTGTTCGGGTCTCCAAGTACACTCAGTTGAATGCTAGTGTTAGCACTGTCCTCTTCCCACCCCATGTTGCAACAGGTGTTAGGAATCTACAGGATTGGTCGTCGCCGTCAGCTCCTTGGGGTATTGAAGATTACCATTGATTATTTTTTACCCTTCCATCCGCTGCCATTCTTGTTGGTGCCAGGTGCTCTGTTCAGGAGTACATTCCCTCTCCTTGGCTCTATAATAAGTAATGGAGGTTTGGGCATGGTGCCCTCCGATGCTCTAGTACTGTCTCTCTCTGTCCCTTGAGTTGGGACGAAGGTCACTCTAAGTCGGAGTGCACTTCTCCCTGGGCTCGCTGCCTCAATTGCGGTGAGGCCCACTCTACCTTCTCCGCGCATGTTTACATTACAAACTTGAGGCAGCCGTCTTCACCTTGAAACACCGGGAATGTTTTTCTTTTCCTGAGGCGAGGCACCAAGTTCGCCGCCTTCCCCCTTTTGCTGGCGTCTCTTATACTCACGTGTTGCACTCTTCCTCTCCTCGTCCTTCCCACCTTCCTCAGTCTAACAACCGTTTCAAGGCCTTTGGCCTAGACACGTCCACCTCCGCCTCCTCTATTCCTTTAAGTTTTGTCCCGAAGGGTCCCCCCTCATGGTTCTCTGTCTGGGGTTCCCCTTCTTTCTACCCAGTCTGTCTTGTCTCCTGTGTCTTCTTCCTCGTCTCCCTCCTTCCCATTCTTCTCCTCCAGCTCTTAGCTCTCCCCACCATCTGTCAGTGCGGGCTGATGTCCATCACTCTCCCAGCGGCCATCGTGTTATTTGTTCTTGTTGTTCTTCTTCTGTTGAGACGCTTGAATCTGTTGCCCAGTACGTTGTTGCCGGGACGTTTGTCTCTTTAAGTCCGAAGCGAAAACCTGGCTCATCTCCTTCCTCCTCCCTGGCAGGTAAGAAGGCTTCGCTTTCTTCCTCGCCCCCAACCTCTGACTCTCTCGATCCATTCCCTCCTGTTTCGGTGGTTGCGCCCCCTGTTCCTGCTATGGAGGTTTCTTTGGCCCCCGCTGCCCTCTCGGTTGTTAACCTTGCTGAGGTGCACTCCCAGGTTTCTGCCCCTCCTGCTGCTGTCCTTGACCCTCGGTTGTCCTACTCTCCTCCTCCGGACCCTGCTCATTTGCCTCTGGCCTGTCCTCCCGCTCCCTTCCCTCCATCCTTACTCGGTTTACCCATGCCTCCCTAACCCTGACTTCGTTGACCATGATCCTGATCCTGCGCATCTTTAACGTGCTGTGTTCCTTTTTCACCTTTTTTTCTTCATTGTTCTCTGTTGCTGTTCTTTCTCTTCTTGTTGATGTCTATCCTTCAATAGAATATTCGCGGATATTACGCCAATTTCTATGAACGCCAACTTCTGATTTCACAGTTTTCGCCCATTCGTGCCGATGCTTGGTGCTCGTCCTGGTCGCTTCCGTGGCTATTCCTTTCTCGTTTCCCTTCCCCCCAGCTTTTGCTGGGGCCCGTTCCTCTTCTGCTCTCTTGATTCGTTCTGATGTTCCCTTCGTCCCCCTACTTTTTCCGTTGCCTCTCCAATGTTCTGCTGCACGTGTCTTTGTGCTTAAATGGTACATGGTTTGTTCCATTTACCTCCCACCAAATGTCCCGCTTTCTCTTCCCGATCTTCCTTATAAAGATCCCTTCTCTCTCTCTCTGAACTTCAGTCTGCCCTGGCCCTCTGCGGTTCTACGGCAGCGGGCTCCGATGGCATTCGTTATGAGATGCTTAGCCATCTCCCTCCGTGCACGTCTCAGTATGTACTGAGTCTGTATAATCGGGTCTGTATAATCGCTTCTCTCTTTCTTCAAAGCTTCCTCTCTCGTCGTTCTTTTCGAGTAAGGCTTGGTGCCACTCTCTCTGCCTTTTTTCAGCAATACTAGGGTGTGGCCCAAGGTAGTGTTCTGAGCAATACTCTTTTTCTGGTTGCCCTCAGTGGTCTTCTTTCCTCTCTTTCTTCTGGCGTCTTCTCCACTCTCTTTGTCGACGATCTTACCCTTTGCTGTCAGGGTGATGACTCCTTCAATGGCGGCTTCAACTTGCGATTGATGCCGTGTCGTCTTGAACCACTAATCATGACTTCAGGTTCTCTACGTCTAAGACCTGTGCTATGACTTTTACTTGGAAATGTGTCGTTCTTCGTACCTCTTTGTCGTTTAATGGTCACCCCCTTGTGTACAAGGATTAAGGTAAGATTTTGGGGTTAATCTTTGACACTCGTTTGTCTTGGTCGCCCCATATCTCTTACCTCCGAGTTGAATGTTCTAAGTCCCTTACCCTCGGGTATTGTCCCATACTTCTTGGGAAGCGGATAGGCGCACTCTCCTCACTTTACATTCCTCTCTCGTGTCTAAACTCGATTATGGTTGCCCTGCTTACTCGTCTGCATCTCCTTCTACTCTTCGCCATCTTGATGCTTTGCACCATACTCGGTTGCGCCTCGGCTCTGGTGACTTTCGTTCGACTCCCGCCCTCAGGTTGTATGTTGACACTCGCTTCCTATCTCTCCAGGACCGCCGTGATCGCTACTGTCTTCGCTATCTTGCGAGGTCCTTGCAACATCCTTCCTCTCGTCTCTGTCATGCGTTAACGTTTACCGCTCGTGGGCTTTCTGTTCCTCTTCACCACCACCCCCTTTTTGTCCGGTTATCTCGCTTACAGGATTCTCTTTCAGTTCGTATTTCTAATATTTCTCCTCTTATTGTTCCTTTCTTGACCCCTTGAGAGTCCCCCTTCCGAAGTTTTGTACATCCTTGACCTGCATCACTAAAGCTTTTACCCCTCCTACGATTCTGAAACGCCTTTTCCTTGAGCACTTTTCTTCACACTCCCACTCCGTTTCCATCTTCACCGATGGGTCTAAATCTGCGGACGGTGTAGGCTACTCTGTTGCTTTTCTTGACCGCGCTTATATGAGTCGCCTACCCCCGGAGAATAACATCTGTACAGCAGGACTTTATCCTATTCT